AGTGATTTACAGGTCCAATATCTCAAGACATTTTAAAAACACTTGAAAAAGAGATACCGACTAATTTGATGTAATCTGATGTTGCTTAAAATTTTAATATTTATTTTTAAAGAAAAACTGTATAGGGAAAAAGCAGTGAAGAGAAAAGACTTATCGCTTTCGAATTGTTTTTCAAAGTCTTGAAGTGTAGAGAACGAAGTGAAGCTATCTGGAAACGGCGAAGAAATAAAGATAAATCATGCCTTATAAAAGAAAATATCTGTCGGAAAAAGAATGTTAATCTATGTGGACGACGATATTTTTTGATAAAAGTAAAATATAGGTATGAATCTCAACAGAGCAGAGGAGTATATAAATATCCTTTTCTAATGAAGATAAATTTGCGAAATTTACAAAATGGATATAAGGTGCCCGCAACGCGCGATCAAGTTTTGAGGGAGAAATTCTCAAAATATTAAGAGCAACGAAAAAACAAGAAAATTGCATCACTCTGAGAAAACTTGAAATTTTACCTGCTTTCGTTCATTACATTTTTTTTGAATTTGATATTTTCGGATTCCCCATCAAGGAAATTTCAATCAGCCTTGAGAGTACTATCATCAAATGTGCCATCAGTTTCTACCTAGCAATCCAAAGTTTCCTACTTTTTTCATGAAAACTGACTGAGTTATTGATAAATCAGGCGTCCGACTTTGAGCAAAATAACCTAGTTTGCAATAAAACTGAAATACCTCCTGAACGAAAGAAAAATTCAAAAACAGCGGTACATTCTTTTGTTCGCCTTTAAATGCTGATTCAAATGGCGTATGATGATCGGAGAAAAGTTTCAAAACCAGGACGGAGATAGTTTTGCAAGAAAGGCAGCTCATTATATCGAGTACTTGCTCGTGTCAAAATTGTGCAACACACCATTTTTCCTTTTGTGACTCAAAGGTACACGATTAGACTCAGTTTTTGATGGGGAATCAGAAAATATCAAATTCAAAAAAGTATAACGAACGAAAGCAGGTAAAATTTCAAGTTTTCTCAGAGTGATGCAATTTTCTTGTTTTTTCGTTGCTCTTAATATTTTGAGAATTTCTCCCTCAAAACTTGATCGAATTCGAATGAAAAGGTAATATTCGCAATCAGCGCAGTCAGGAGTACCTGGCCATGTAGCTTTCGACTGAAAACCATTTTCGACCTTGAACTCTAGAAAACTCCTGAACGGTAACAGACAGAGAGTAAAAAAAAGGATAGGATAGAAAAGAACAGAATGAATGGAAAATCACGCATATATAATCGTATGTTGGTTAATATATTATATACCGCTGATGATCATTGAATTTAAGAATCTAGAAGTTGTCCAATTTTAATCAAATATCAATTGTTGCTTTCTTATAAATAATTTTGGTATATTCTAACTTTGATAAACAAACGCAGTTGAAATACAGTATAAGATATACGTTAAGAGTCTTTGGTAATATTCAAATCTTTCAGGGTAACTTCAGCCAATTTAAATTTTTGTACTTTTCCTGTTGGTGTCATTATGAAGTTATCAACCATTTTTATATGTTTTGGAATTTTAAAAAAGGCCACTCTAGTAGCTAAAAATTCTCGTATTTCATTTACATCACATTGTTGATTCGGTTTCAATTTAATCCATGCACATAGTTCTTCACCATATCGTTTATCGGGAATACCAAATACTTGCGCTTCAGCCACTTTTGGATGTAAAACAATCACATTTTCAATTTCAATGGGATATAAATTAACGCCACCACGAATGATCATTTCTTTTATACGTCCACGAAAAAACAAATATCCATCTTCATCCATCACAGCAGTATCTCCTGTTCTCAACCAATTTGATTCTGTTAATGCTTCACGTGTCTTCTCCTGATCGCCCCAATAACCCTTCATTATACAATATCCTCTAGCCCAAACCTCTCCCTCTTCACCGAGTAAAACTGTTTCACCTTTTCCATTCACTAGTTTAATTTCAAGACGTTGCATTACTTTTCCCATTGAACCTGTTCGCCGTCGCGGATCATTATCTCCCGCCCACATTCCACTTGACAAGAAGGCGCTATTCTCTGTCATGCCATATCCTTGTGAAACTCGTTTAATCGGTATCTCTTTTTCAAGTGTTTTTAAAAAGTCTTCAGACATTGGACTTGCTCCAAGTGCACCGAATTCTAACGATGTCATATCATATTTCTTCCGTTCTGGATGCATTAAAATATCTCGAAATATGACAGGAGCGCCAATTAGTGTTGTACATTTCTCTTCGTGAATCGTTTTCATTGCTAAAATATTCAGTTATAGTATGAATTACCACTCGAGCCATTTTATGCAGAGATATAAAATGAAACAGAATAAACCTTAACAGCACTTACTTGATAGTGTGTCAGGGAGTATAGCCGGATAAATTATACAGGATTTTCCCACGCAAGCGTTTAATGTACCAACAATTTCAGCAAATACATGAAACATTGGTATTGGTACACAGACTCTTTTGAAAAAACGGCCAAGATGTTCATAACTAGCAATCGTAATATTCAACATATTATAATTCGTTAATGTAGCCGCTTTTGGCTTGCCCGTCGTACCTGATGTGTAATAAATGGCTAACGGTGTGTCAGAATCAACTGAATTCTGACGTTCAATTAAATCCTGTCGTCGTCCATTTCCACCTCGAGCCAGTAATTGATTGAATGAATGAGTACCGGAGACTGTTTTGTCTCCAGCAAGAATTATGTGTTTCAAAGACGGGACGGATTTTGACTGTAAATCACC